TAATATTATATAGTATAAATGGTATATATATTTTTTTTTGCTAAACATAGAAATCTGAATGAATAGAAATTGTTAGAAATAAATGAAACAAGTGCAATGATAACGGTGAAAATAATACAATCAATTTTGGTTATACTTTTATTCTTTTCTTATTCTCTTATCAATATTATTCCAATCAGAAGATTGGATTTTCATTTTCTTTTTTTTGTTACCTTAGCTGCGAGAGATTGTGGGGTTTATTGTATTTTATAGGGGCGGAGTCGAGGAGGTGAGGAGGCGATGGAGATGATTTCAGAAGGGGCAAAGAAGGAGATGGAGATAATTGTCGGGAGAGGCAAGGAGCAGGGGCTGATTTTTGAGAGAAAAGACCAACAGCAAGGCTGGGTTTTTTTAGAGGAAAAAGACGCAGTTTGGTGTGGGACTCCAATTATTTTTTGGGAAGTGCCCACTTTCCGGATATATATATATATATATTTCTTCTTATTTGAGTTATTTTCTTTCTTGCAAATTGAAATTACAATTGTAGAGAGAGAGGTTGGTCGTCAGTTCCTCCTCCTGCTTTTGTTACCCTGCCACTAGGGTTACAGAGTCGCCGCTGCTTTTCTCCTTCTAATCTCAACTCGATCGGAAACTCAGCTGCTCATCCGATTCCACTCGTTAACTCATGGTAGGTACTTTCCTCTCTCTCTCCAACATAGTTGTTTTCGTTTAAGTGGCTATTTCAACCTTGATCTGTTGGTTTGGTGCGAATCGGTATTGCAGCTTTTTTTTGGTGCATTGGAATTGATTTTGTTTATGATTCTTTTGGGGCTTAGATCTCTAGGAATTCTTTGCTCACTGTTTGGTTGATGGAGGAACTCCCTTTTTTTTTGTTTTTTTTTTTTACTGGATTAAGTTTTAGGGGCAAATAAGAGATCTTGATTCGATTTAGAGCACTTTAGTTTTGAACTTCTAGTCTGGATAAATTAGTAATGATTTCGATTTTTAATTTTTCCCTCTATAATAATATAACTAGTGCCGATCACAGTCTTCAACTTGGCATCATAGGATTTAGATTCCTGGACATGTCCAATATTGATTTGATGTCAATTTGTTATATACGGCATCTATTTCTGTGCACTTCTGTGATCGGTATTGATAAGTGACTTAATTCCCGGCAATTGCTGACTTAATTTAATCCAATTAGAATCGGTAGAATTTGGAGGGATTGATTGGGTTACAGGCGGTAGTCACGGATAAGGAATTTTAAAGGAGTAAATGTATGCCAAATGATAATTCAGATAAGGGAGGGATAATTCTTTAATGCGTGAGAAATTTTATTAAATTATATTTTATTTATTAAACCAAATGTGTGTAACTGAGAGTGTGTTAACATATTAATTTCCTTTTCATTTTTACATTCAAGATGGTCTCCTCTCTCTTAATTTTCAATTGCTGCGTGGGTTGCTTGGGTTTTAAAATTTTTTTTTTAAAAATAAAAAAAATCCTTCGAAATTAATAAGAAACTCCCTGCATCCGAGGACTAAATACAAAGACAAAGATATAATCCATTGAAATTAAATTTGGATGAACTCATAAAGATTAAAGTACACACAGAGAATGTTATACATGCATAATTTTTTTTTTTTTTTTGTGCAAATCTTTTCGTATTGAAAATCACATTAAAATCAATAGTCCTCTTAACGCTATTGGTCATACTCAAAATTTGTAACTTCATCAAGTATCCACGGAGACTGGAGATAATCATCTGGTGGCAAAGTTGAAAAGATATCTGTGGTGCGTGGCTCAACGGTTGTTGGATCAATCTGGTCCAAGCTCATTATTGACTGTGTATCATCTCCTGAATGAATCCCCGGAGTCCAAGGAGCTACCAAAGTTGATGGACTGGCTACAGCATTTTGAATCATTTGGTTCGGCTGTGGATCATCATCATATGAAAAATAAGGAAGAAAGACGGGATCATAATCAACTGGCCATGATGCAGCAGCTGCTGGTCGAGAATTGGAGGTCGCCCGGTTCTTGTATATTATACAAAAAGCAATATTAGCATTTCTGCGAGCTTCAACACGGCTTGGGTCCAAGACATATTCTTTCATCATCCATCCTGTCTTCTCGCGATCAATTTCATGGTTGAACGTCCTCTTCACTGCCCACATAGTGTCATCATGATCCTCAATATATAATCTCTTACACCCATCCCATTTAGAGTTTCCAGCGTTTGTTTGTATAACCCTGTTGAATCTCCTCTGCGATCCTTCTGTTTTCGGTTCCCTTTCCCAGAAATACATACCCATATGTGCTGTTGGGTCCATTCCTGCATCAGCAAATTTAGCATTAGAAATTAATCAAATACGCATATACAGTAGTACACATTTACGCAATTTCAAAATAACTACTGTATTACATAAAAAATAATTTTACATGAAACTAGTGCAAGAATTTTTTAACGAAGTGTTTTTTTTTGGTTAAATGTTAAATTTGGTCTCTCAACTTTAGTGGTTTGCACATTTTTGGTCTCTTGAGAATTTTTTGCACTTTTTTTATCTCTTAACTATACGAAATGCACTCCGTTATTCCTTCTGTTAATTCGGGCCGCTTAAGTGGCATTTTTTATAATTTTTTTTATGACGTGACAAAAATAAATTTAAAAAACGTTGATGTGAAATTTTTTTTAAGTCAACTCATTGCCAACACATCAACTAATTTTGTCTTAATAAAAAATAAAAAATTACAAATTTACCCTCTCCCCTTTTTTATCCATCTTCTTCCCCTCTTTCGATCATCTTCTTCCTTTCTTCTTTTTCTTTTTCTTCTTTTTCTTTCTTCCTCTTCTTTCTTCCTCTTCTTCCT